CATCATGACAAGCCATATGTCCAACACTGGGTGCATGATATTTCCACACCATGGAACACTACCTATTGATCTGACAGCTGGAATGAATCTTAAGGGTATTATGCTATGTAAGAAACCAGTCTCAGTGCTTACATACTGTATTATTCCATTTATGAGCTATTCTTAAAATTCTATACAAAAGTATAGGAATGGAGACCAGATTAGTGATTGCTAGACATTATTGGTAGAGAGGGCTGAGGAGGAGGAGAGAAAGGGGGATGTAATTGAAAGGGCACTGCAGGAGATCCTTGTGGTGATGGCATTGTTCTGTATCTCGACTGGGGTGATGGATACACAATCTAAACATGTGATAAACTTAGAACTAAATAAATGTACGCATAAGTAGAAGTAAAACTGGAGAATACTAAATAATACCAAGTGGATTGTATCAATGTCAATGTGCAGTTGTGATTTACAAGATAATATCATTGGGGGAGACTAAGTAAAGGGTACAGGGAATCTGTGTTATTTCTTAGAACTGTATGTATCTGCGATTATCTCAGTCAAAACTTTAATTAAAATAAATGAACAAATAAAAATTTCTAAAAAATATCGATCATTTTGAGATAACTTCAACATTTTGGGTATATCTTTTCAGTCTTTTTTCTGTGCATAAAATTAAAATAAATTTTCACACTCAAAAAAAGATAAATGAACAAAATTGAAAGTTGATAAGAATTAAATCATGGCCATTCTTTTCACAAGATTTAAATTTAGTCATTTTATTTCCCATTTAGAATTATGACCCATCACATCAGAGATTCTATAAGTAAAATGACAGCATTAATATAACCTAGTAATAAAATATCAACATTATAGAGCTGTTCTCAGTTTGAATATTAACTCCCAATTTAAAAATCTCTAGGGAAAGATTTAAGCTCAAGGATTAAATACCATTGCAGTTCAAAAACTCTTAAAGTTGTAAGGAATTAAGGTAAAAAGTAAGATTCTCTTGTCCTTGTGAGTTCAAGTCCCTTGAAAGTATAAATTCACAACTAATGTTCCTCAGTTTTTTCTGTCGCTCAGTTTCAGTTTGGTGTCTGGGTTGAAGTTCTTCGGTAGCTAAATGCCTTTCACTGGAGAGAATGTGGTTCTTTCAGAGATTCTAGGAGTTCTATGAGTTCAACCTCACAGTCCTGTGGTGTCCTCCCCCCCTTTTTTTTTTAAGGATTCTAGCTATTTACGTGGTACATGATTTCTTTCTAATTTTTATTAAAAAATAAATAAATGCAGTTTCTAACCGTTGGAGCAGTTACCTTTTGGAATAACCATGTTCCCCAAACCCAACTCTTAATATGCAAAAAAAGCCCTATAGCAGAAATGGTAGTAGCAAGTACACAGTCTCTTTCCAATATTCTAGTCATTTAATGCCAAAGGTCTAGAGGTCACAATCTGTGAATTCAAACTCAGAAATCTTCATCACTTGCCTCTTTCTCAAAAGAGAGTAGCATTTCCTCTCTGACACCTAACATTTCCATCAGAGAAAACTAGTTACAAAACTTCTAGATTAACATGTACGGCTTTTAACTCTCTCAGTAGGCAGGAGGAATGGAGAACTGCAAAGGGGGAAGAAGAAGTCAAGACTTACAGGTCAGAGGAGAGAAGAAAACACTTCAGTGTGCCAAAAGAGAATAAAATACCCACTGTCTCAAAGGTAAATAGTAATTCTTGTGATTTTAATGTTTGTTTCATAAGGGTAGTTGCCATTTTAAGGCACTTTTGTTATTAAACGGTTAACATTATAAACAGGATGTTTAATTAATGAAATAAAATTAATATAGTTAAATCTTGATTACCTCTGGATTATCTTTTTACCATTGAAAATTTTTAATTTTTAATTTCCTGCTCTCTAACATACCTTTTCCCCAAATGCCAGTTGTTATATGGCCATTAAATCTAATAAATTACATCAATAAGCAAGATCTTTTTCTAGTTCTTCCATTGATTATACACTTCAAAACTGTTTTTGCTTTTGTTTTTTCCTTTGCATTTTTTTGCTGTTTTGCACCTATTTTTTATTGTAGATAATCAAGTCAGTTATGCTGCTATAAATAGTAGTTATTTTCTCCATTAAAAAAAGTTAAGTGTCTCTACTAGTTTGCCCTGTTGGTTTCCCTGTCATCCTGCTCTGGAAAACGGTAGAGCTGGTGACTTGTAGTTGGCCACACCCTGATCTGGGCGGGAGGTGTCTTCCTCCCTGTGTTCCCTGGAATCACATTCCCTGTTCTTCATTCCATGCCTTTGTCTTTAATCATCTCACCTTGAAAGCCTTACAGACTTAGAATCAGAAATGGAGGAAGACTGTGTGGAATTTCTTTTCTGTTATAATTGCCTAACTGAACAAAGAAAAGGTAACTGGTCTCTTGACCCGGTGTTGTGCTCCTTCCTCTTGCTGAGTTTGAGTTCCTTGAACTGTCTGACTCAGTGTCCTTTTCTAGAACTCCTTCCTGTGTTGTGATTCTTGTCCTTAAATATCTCAAGTGGTCCTTGGCTATTTTATGTTTTCTTTTACTCAGGATATCATACCATGGGATCAGTAGGACCCCACACAGAATTCTGTTAGTATAATCTGAAATAATTTTTTTGTTTTTGGGTTTATTTGTTGAGCGTTCTTTTTCCATAGTGGCTGTAAAGCATATCTTTTCTGTATCCTTTGCTCAAAATCCAAGGATGTGGGGAAATAAACTCATGTAATGATGATGAGAGTTAGTGTTGCTACCATCTTTATAGATGAAATATGGTAATACCTATTAAAATTAAAAGAATGTGCTTATCTTTTAATCCAGTAGTAGTACTTTGTCTAACACCATACACAAATGTAAGCTTGAAGTGGATTAAAGATATAAATGTAAGACATGAAACCATAAAACACTTAGAAGAAAACACAGGCAAAAATCTCTTGAACATCATCATAAACAGTTTTTTTCTGGACAGGTTTCTAAAAGCAAAAATTAACAAGTGGGACTATATCAAACTAAAAAGCTTCCATGCAGCAAAGGACACCATCAGTAGAACAAAGTCAACCTACTATATGGGAGAATATATTTGTAAATGATACATCTGATAAAGGGCATACTTTAGAGATTTTTTTTTTTTGAAAGAAAAGTACTTATGTGAATGTATATACAAAGGTGTGTGTGTCTATGCACACAGACATTTATAGTGTCTCTGTGGCAGAAACGAATAATTTCAGTGTGTGTTGGTGGAACAAAGGTAACATCTCATGACATCTATATGCTTGTGGAATATCTTACAGTTTATTAAAGGAATGAGTTAGAGCTCACTCCATTGTCTTGGAGAAATTCTCATGATACACTATTAAGTGAAAAATGCAACTGGAACAGTAATGTCTGTAATGTGACCTTGTTTTCAAATTTTATGAGAGAAGTGAAAGGCTTGAAAGCGTGCACGCCAGACCGAACAGACCGTGGCTGTACCGATGATCGGACGCCATCTTTCATCTTAGGAGTTGCAGTTGTTTTTTTTCTTCTTCTGTTAACAGAGGGTACTTCCTTTGCAGGCAGGAAGTATAAATTAATACAAAAAAACTATTCAGAAAGCAGTTATAAAGTTGATTTGGGGCAGTAGGCTGGTCCCAATATTACAGCGGCTTAAACAAATTGGAAATCTGTTGAGAACTGAAGTTCTGTTCTTCTGATCCTCTCATGTGAATTTTACCTCACACATAAAGATATTGCCAAATGGATGTTTCTTTAGTATCACTTTACAGTCAACACGCTTTAAGTCAATGAGGAATCTGCAGGGGGCATATATGTTGTTCTGATAAGGTTCTTTGAAATTGCTCTGCAGCATTGTGCTGGATATCCCATTGGCCAGTATTTAGTCACATGCAACTCTGACAAAGAAAGGTTTGTGTGTGAGTGTGTGTGTGTGTGCAGGGAAATGGAGAGCAGCTGTTCGATAAACAGTTTTCCCTACCACTGCATTATTTATTAAGGCATTATAAACATTTATGTTCTTTGACTTGAATTTATCCTAAAGGAACTGTAGATAAAGCTTTACAAAAAGAAACAAATAGCAATTTTTCATGAAATGAATTTGAGTAGATAAACAATTTATGCTAACTGAAAGAAGCAGTGTATATACTTAACAATGGATTACTCAAAACTCATGAGATTATAGTTGAACATTATTTTCTCTTTTATGCCCTTACATATTTCCCAAAATTTTTACAAAATTACAAAACCCTTCAGGAATCCTTTTAAAGAGAGAATCTGTATGGAGTAAATCTTACATGCTAGTATGTGAAAACATCTTGGATTTCAGTTGGCCATTACAGGTAGCTGCTCCGATGGTGGTCAGGCTGATGTGCCAACAGTCCTAGTGGCCAAGACTGGTCACAAGGAAGGAAGTGGGAAGTGGGGAGTGGGAGCAGGTGGGGAGCTGGGGGATGGATGAGCTTGCATTTCAGTGCTCCAAGTCTTGAGGTTCATCCACCCGCCACACACACCCAGAATCTTTTTTAGTAATGTAAAGTAAGATTTAGGTTTTTGCCCTTTTTTTCTCTCCTTCCTCTCTGCAATATCACCACCCAACACACTTGTGAACCCAAAAGAAAACTAATGGAATGCACAGAACAGATGCCAGATGCTCAAAATAGCATATTCTCAGAGGTAGGAGGGGACTTTGAAAACAGGATATAACAATGAACAGTTGATAGGAGAGGATCTCATTAGAGATACTGGCATGAAACCTATAGTTGCTGAAGTTAGAGAATTCAATGGACAGGTTGGATAGGAGAATATAAAACACTGAAAAATGAGTTAATGAGCTGGGAAGTGAAGTTCAAGAATTCTCCCAGAATGTATCAACAAGGGATAAAATGATGGAGAGAATAGGGAAATGTAAAAACACATACCCATTATATAATATGTGTATAAAGAGAATGAAATTAGACATATTAGCATAAGCATTATTTAATAAATCTTTGAAGAAAAAAATATATAGAGGGAGGAAAGAGTTGAAAAAAATAACCAGAACTTCCTAAAATTAACCTCTGCCTAGTATACCAAGCAGGATAAACAAGGAAAATACAGTAAATAAAAAATTTTAAAACTTCAACTGAGCATATTATAGTGAGATTTCAAAACATGTAAAATAAAGAGAACACTGAAAATTACTGGAAAGAAAAAGAGAATGATTTAAGAACGAGTGTGAACTTGACTAATGTTAGACTTTTTATCTGGTATTTACAAAGTGGATTCCACTGAGCCATCCCACAGCCAGAGGAGATAGGAGCAAATCGTTGGGGAGTCTGCCCCTGCATGAGGATTGCCTACACCTGACACAGCGGCGTGTGTACCAGTTTCTGACTGGAGGGTGATGACACGCTGAAGCCAAGTGCTGACATGCCTTGGTTCAGGGATGGAAGTCACCCACAGAGATGGCAGTGCCAGTGAAAGCTGCCTCTGGGCCGTGTCTTGCTACCAACTCATCCTGCTGACAGCCCCTGGCCTGCCCCTCCAGGATGTCCACACAGCAGGTGTGGGTGCAGTGCCCATGGAGTGTGCTGGTGGAGACTGGTGTCCCCAGACCCGGCATGCTGGTCCCCTTTGCTCCAGTCAGTGTCAGTCGAGTCAGGGCTGTTGAAATGCACAATGGAGCTTGGAGCGAAGCTCTTCCTGGGGACGGTGTAGGCTTCAACATCAAGCATGTGTCTTTCAGAGATGTTCATCGTGGCAGTGTAACTGGGGATAGTGGAAATGACTCACCGATGGAAACAGCTGGCTTCACAGCTCAGGGGCTTAGCCTGAGCCATCCAGGCTTGATCGGTGCTAGCTTGTCACGTGGCTTCCATGGCTCGCAGTTTGGCCCAGCCAGAGGAGATTGCCATTCTGGGAAGAAGCTGGAAAATAGTCCCAAATTCTTGAAATACGGTGATGCTGCCATTACTGATGTGGTTCCTGGCAGCCCACGTGTGCTGAGAGCCACTCTGACTGCCCTCCTCTGGGCTGTCGCTGTTCATGCCATGAGATGGACAGGTGCCGTCGGGGCCATCAAAGCAGTGGAAGGGCAGCCGGAGCTGCAAGACCACCGAGTCCACCCAGAAAGCTCAGGAGCTGGAAGTAGATTATCCCCAAGCGCTGCCGCCCCATCTCAGCCAGTGGTGGAGGAACGGTTTCGGAGCCGTTGGTCTCAGCTGGCCATTTAAGTTTAATAGTAAAAGACTGGTTAATGATAATGTGTTGTAAAACCTTGAAGGAGCTGAGAATGGTTTACAGACAATTTGTTTTTGTATGGGAGGCAGTTTTTATTAGTTTTGAAATCAGTACTTTTTAATGAAAACAACTTGACCAAAAATTTGTCACAGAATTTTGAGACCCATTAAAACTTGATATAATATAAAGCTTAATGAGGAATAATTATAGGTTCAAAGTATTTTCTGTGAATGCTGTAAAGATAGGGCTTCTTATTCTTATTATGTGATATTTATTGTATGATTGATTGCACACATGTGTATAAGTCTGATGTCTCAATTTTTCTGAAGGGGATCTTTATTATTTCCTCTATTTTTTATACTCACAAATGTGTTTTTTACCCCCACCTGTAAATTCTGTTTTTTGTTGAATTTGTTCATCTCTCATCATGTTGGACTTTATCATTATTTTTGTGTGTGATGAGTGTTATTTGTATTCTCATCTGCTGCAGAAGATCCCACCCCCCCCTTCCCCGTTCTGCAGCAGCAGCAGAGCGAGCTGGGCGGCCACCTGGTGTCCAGGTCTGGTGTTGGTAGGGTAGTTCTGTGCCCACCACTGAGGTCTCTCGTTTGCCTCTGCCTGTTGCCTGTGCCTCACAGCCCATGGTTCTTTCTTACATCTGTTCTGTGGGTTGGTGTGGATACAGGAGTCTTTAATGTTAGGTTTAGTCTATTACTATGAGTCCTTGAGTCTGTACCACCTGATCAGGAAAAAAAAAAAAGTTTTATGTATTATCAACAAGTGAATTTCAAGGTGTCATCACAAACCTGTGACTTTCTGTAATACTAAAATATTTGAGCTGGTGCTGTAATCTAGTCCACTTGAGTTATATCTTAAATATGAATGGAGTTTTATTAAATTAAATTAAAAAGCCTGCTCTTTAAGCATACGGTAAATTAATTTCAACTTCCTTTTCCCCAGAATCATGGTCATGAGCATTTCCTGGACCTCGGAGAGTCCAAGAAACAGCAGGCAAATCAGCATAACTACCGCACACGGTCTGCACTGGAGGAGCCTCCTAGGCCTTCCGAAGAGAGAGAAAATGGCACCAGTTCTTCAGATGTAAGATCTCAGCACATTCATCAATTTGTTTCCATTTTTACAGAACTTTTTAAGATATGAATATGACTTTCTTTCTTTGCATTCATTAATCTATTTATAGTTATAACTCAAACATGTTATTTCTAGGTGTTATAATAATAGTGACAGCTTCAATTACTGAAGTTGTACGTATGTTCCAGGCATGGTAATCGTACTCATAATCTGAAATCCAAAAAACAAATGGATATGAATTAATTATTTCCATTTTATGTGTGAGGGATCTGAGCTTTCAAGATGCTTAGATTGCCCATGTACCTATTAAATGGTAGAGCAGGTATTGAACCCGGGTTCCCTTTATTCCAAGCCAGTCTTTTTAAGTAGTACCATGAAGCTCTCATCTGTACTATAACTAACCAATAGGCCATTTGACAATTTTGGTTAGTTTTTACTCTCTACCAGTTTATGGCTTTCTCAGTGTAATTTTTAAAAATTCCTTATATGTAGTTATTTTAATAAATATCATTGTCCCTATTAAATTATAAATTCTTTAAGCAAAGGCAATCAGTTTCTAGTCACAAATCATTCTTAATCAGCACCTAGAACCGTCTTCCTTCCAATGCTCCATTCTCTCTAGCATCCCTTCCCTCTCAGGTTAAAGACTCTGTGACCTTAGGAACTGACCACTGTCGATTTTTGAAGCCATGTTGTGTTTTGCAGTGCTAGACATACAGGAATTCTCTGAGTGTATCTCTGTGGACAGGCAGTACTAACTCAAACTGAGTATTGTAACCACAGTTTCAGCATTAGTCTCCAGTGGTTTTAGGTCCTAGTATGGCTGGGTCAAATTAATACGTCCAATCTGGTAAAAAGGTGAAATATACTAATTACATAAACTTGATACCTGATAAATTAGATAAACACACAAAGTGTATGTGGGCTAATTATTTGCCTTATAAAATGTTTTAGTTTTGAAAGATTCATAGTATTCTTTTACTAATACATTTTTATAAAATATATTAAATGTGATTCCACTTAGTAGAAACGTGTATATTTCCAGGTATATCTGTCACATGAGAAATATTTACTGAATCCTTCATTTGTCTTCAAAACTAATTTGTTTATGCTTGAACATCCTTTTAGAGCAGTTGAACAAATTCCCAGAAGAGTATGTTGAGAACAAAATATCACCTTGGGCACAATATATTAATTAATGCAAAGAAACCTAGGTTTTGTGATTCAAATATTTTGTATTTTGAACTTACAATGTAAAAGTATGTATCTTTTCTCCCTCTTTAAGGAGGTAATTTACTAAGAGTGGGAATAATTGGATCATTTGTTTAGATTTTTTTCAGTTATATTGAGAGATTAAATTTGCTAAATAAAATTTACTATTAGATTTTGATCTTTTCATATCTGCTTAGTTTTAAAACTGTGGGATAGTCATGTAACACACATTCTTCATTATTAAGACATCAAAAGGGAAAACTTCTCTCCCAAAATATATGATTTTAATTTACTAGTAAAGGAATATATCCCATTATCTTCTTGAAAAGTCATCAGAATGTCTCTAGCAGATGATGACACTGGGCTGCTCTTGTGGAGAGTGTAGTCTAAGTTTTGGAATAAGATAACCTTATTCAAGAGAGGCTTAATTGTTCATTCCTTGTGCTGAGTATGTTTCTTAAACTTTCTAAGCTTTAGTTCCATTTATTTAACTGCTCCTTAATACCAGTAGTGTTTTGTCCATATCAGAGTGCTTAGAGTAATGTCTGACATAGGAAAAGCTTAATTACTGTGAACGGCTATTTTTTGTTGGTTCATAAAGTTTGCTTGAGCTAGGGAGAGGTTGTGTAACATTTTTGTGACCGAAAGTACCGGTTTTTATAAAGAAAATGGCTGTACAGGAATATCCTACATTGACCAGTGAATATTTAATGAAGAGAAATAAAGTGGTTGGGTAGTTTTTAGTCCTCTACCTTTTGAAAAAAGTAATACCAGAGTTAGATTATACTTTTTTGTGTGTGATAAAGCTATTTTAATAATAATTAAAGCATAAAAGTTCCTAACTTAAGCTTCTCAAAGCATTTATAGAAAAAAAAGCTTAAATCTTACAAAATTGATTTCAAATGTTAATTAGAACGTGGTATCATCCAATCTAGAAGACAGGTTATGCAGCTTAAAAAACAAATAAAATATGTTAGTCATCCAAGATATTCCTCTGAATCCAATATTAATAAGCACTGTCTTTTGTTATATTTAATAATTATTAAATACATGTAATAATTTTTTGGTGTAAGAAAATAAGATGTATGTTTTACAAGTAACTCAAATCAGGTTTTAATCTAAGTAACCTAATGTGGTTGGTACTGTTCAATACCACTGATCATAGAATGTTATTTTATCAAATTACACAATAAAATGTGTCGAATACCTCTTAGGAGGGTGACGTTGTCGCTGTCAGTGGTGGGACGTCCGAAGAGGAGGAGCGAGCGTGGCACAGTGACGGCAGTTCTAGGTAATTCAACGGATTTTTATTTCTCCAAATAGAATCTCCATATAAAATCTTGAGAAGACTGAAGGTTCTTTTTTATTGGCAATGTATTTCAGAGTCTCTTGGGGTTTCAAATTGGTCCTTCTTCAGACATTTTTTTTTGGTAGTCATCCAAAATTTGGTTTTTCTTTCTGATGCCTTTTCTCTAGTAGAATAAAATTTGGCTTATTGCAACTAGATCTGCAAAGTGATGTAATTGTAAAGAACATGGGCTCTGGGGGTTATAGTTAGATCTGTGCTGGCAGCAAAAATTGTGTGAGAAGCTGAGTGCCTCCTGAGAATGGCCGCTATGTGAACTTTTGGCAGGTGAACCATATTATGGAGACCATAGCTGCAGCTGGTGTAAGTGGAGTACAGCCAATTCTTGGGTAGATCTTCTCTGCAGATGCATTCATATGCATCCAGAATAGTGTCTGAAAAATTTTTTACTTAAGTTCATTAAAATCATTTTACATTTTAAAATGAAGCCATTAAGTCATACCTAAAACACACCTTATTTATTTGACCTTTATCTATGATGAATGCTCTTGGGAAGATAGAGATACGTGCCTGTAAAGAACATTCAGGCCAGGAGGAAGAGGTGGCTGGTAGTGGACTGAAACCCCAGGAGAATCTGTCCTTTCAGTGTTAGTTATCAGCAATATTTTAGAGTGAGGTCATGTATCACTAAGTCTAGGCAAACTAATTACTGATTTAAACACTGTATAACTTAGATTCCTTTAAGGCATTTCTATTTATGAAAACTAAGATCAAATAATATTCTCATGAACTAAAATTAAAACAGGAGATAACATAACAGGGTTTTTTGTTTTGCAACATCAATTTGGTAATGGTTTGCTTAGGTCTACTGAAGGTAAAATGAAATGACAAACATGGTTGGTAGCAATACCTAAAATCATAAAGCCTGTATTTTTCTGAATGAGGCATTCTTTGAAGTGTGAGCTAGACCTAAGGTGTATTATGTAGATGATACATGAGATTTGAAGGTGCAGCCTTCCTGCTGGACAGGAACATTTACGACCCTGCCAGTTCCATGTCCAGCCATGTGGGCAGCCATGCTCCTCCACGGGAGTCTCCCTGTCAGGAGTGCCGCCTCCTCGCGTTGGTGTGTCTTGTGTTCTCCTCCAGGGCTGTCCATCTGCTGTTGGTAGAACTGAGGAAGATGGCCTCCAGCTGTTTATTTTTGTCTGCCCTACAGTATTTTGAGCTTTGCTTCTTTGTTATAGCCGTAGAAGGCACCTAATTTACTGTTTGAATTAAAGCTATGACCTTACTTACCTTAAAAATATTTTTGAGATAACTTAAGTAAATCAAGCCTTTAGAATTTTATGAAACTTTAAGAAGATGATGATTTGCAAGTTAGGAAATAATTTTAGTTCACTTGGTATGTATTGTTTTGTCATACTCTTTATTATGATCTTTACATTTTCATAAAACCAAGTCTTAAGGTATCTGTATATCATGTGTGAATCTCCCAAATTCTTTTTCTGTCCAGTGACTACTCCAGTGACTATTCTGACTGGACAGCAGACGCGGGCATTAATCTGCAGCCACCAAAGAAAATTCCTAAGCATAAGGCCAAGAAAGCTGAAAGCAGTTCAGATGAAGAAGAAGAATCGGAAAAACAGAAGCAAAAACAGATTAAAAAGGAAAGGAAAAAAGTAAATGAAGATAAAGATGGACCAGTATCACCAAAGAAAAAGAAGCCCAAAGAAAGAAAACAAAAGGTTGATATTTTTAATGTAATGTTTTCTATGAAAAGAAAGCACACACACTTTAAAAGTGCACTTGTTGTACATACACAGCGT